TAAAGTGACTATGGAATAAGAGTAGAGCCCGGCTGGTGTGGCTCAGTGGTTGAGCATCCACCCATGCACCAGGAGGTAGCTGGTTCGATTCCCAGTCAGGGCACAGGCCCAGGTTGTGGGCCCGATCCCCAGTGGGGGGCAAGCAGGAGGCAGCAATCAATGTTCTCTCTCATCAAGGTTTCTATTTTTCTCTCCCTCTCCCTTCCTCTCTAAAAATCAATAAATAAAAGAAAAAAAAAAAGAATAGATAGGACTGGTTCTCCTTTGGATTTGGAGTGTGAAGTAAACAAGGAAACTGGCCTCCAGAAAAAGCTGTGGAAATGCTAAATGGGGTTAATAGGTGGCCCTGGAAGAGAAAGTGCTAGAGACACAGAAAAACAGAAATGAAAATGGACAGAGTGGAAGTGCCCTGCCAGATGGCATCTGCATTCGCAGAAACAGCTACACCAGGGATGCTGACCTAGGAGAGCCAGGGGTACTGGGGTCCCGCTGAGGGTCACCACTCTTGGCTCCAGTCCTCGGTGAGGACAGAGGCGAAAGCAAGAGGTCAGATATGGTGGAGAAGGCCATGCCCGCCCAAGCCCTCCCCTCATCTCCTGCCTGTGATGAGCAAGGGGCTTTATTAAGTAGAAGGCTGATGTGGCTGCCGGTGGCCAGGGAATGTGGACCTAGCCCAAGTTTTCCCTCACCCCGTCCCCGAAGAAGGTCCCTGGGCAGCTGTGGCTGTGGCCCTGCCCACCATGGGAATGAGGGATGAATCTGCCCGTCGGACAGAGGGCAAATAATAGCACGATGTGGTTAAAATGAATTGGGGGGAAATGGCAATTATTTGGGAAGGCAAAACGGGGCTGTGTACTATAGTGGGGGAAATGGCATTTGAGGTGGGAAGATATGACGCGGGTCCCTGCTCTCTGTTCATGCAACAAATAACCACTGAGTACCCATGATGCACCAAGCCCTGACGTAAGCAATAGAGAAACAGATGGAACCCCAGAAGCCAACAGTATAGTGAGGAATAAAGAAATAGACAGTAAGCCCTGACCAGTTTGGTTCAGTGGTTAGAGCATCGGCCTGCAGACCAAAGAGTCACAGGTTCGATTCTGGTCAAGGGCATGGACCTCAGTTGCCTTGGTCACTGGCTCTGGTTGGGGTCATGTGGGAGGCAACCAATCAATGTCTGTCTGTCTGTCTCTCTCTCTCTCTCCCCCCTCCTCCCTCCCACTCTCTCTGAAGATAAATGGGAAAATATCCTCAGGTGAGGATTAAAAGAAGAAAAAGAAACAGTCAGAAGAGAGTACTGAGTGTGGTGACTGACAGGCGCACAGGGCTGTGGAAGCCCAGAGGAGGGCATCTACCTCCACTTGAGGAGGCTCAGGGAATGGTCTGCAGAGATGGTGCTCAGTCTGGTACCTGGTAGCATTTTCTCCGATGGAGGGAGTAGAGGGAAAAGCCTCCCAGTTATAGAGAGCAGCAACTGCAAAGTGCGGGTGCCACAGGCGTTCCAAGGATCCATGACCCACTGTGGGTTCTTGGATTCATGCAGGAAAGAATTCAAATGCAAGCCAGCATAGAATTTAAAGTGAAAGTGTTTTTATTAGTGAAGTAGTGAGACAGAGAATGGACTACTCCAGATAGATCATCCCCCCTTTAGCAAAATGTGCTTCCTTTATCAAGATTCATTTAATTGGGGGTGTCAGATATTCAATAAGGGAGAGGAACATTCAGGATTTTCCTGGGAAAAGGGTGGAGATTTCTCTGGGGAGCTCAGTGAGCCATCTTTTGCCCTTACATGGGCTTTCTGTTTCTAATCGTAACGGCATGGTGTGTCAGTTAGCATGCTAATCTCTTTCAATGAGTATATAATGAGGCTAGGGGTTACCACAAGGTAAAATTAGTCACCATATTGGATTGAGCTGGTCTTTGATGGTTTTTTTGTTTTTTTTTTTTATCCTCACCCAAGGACATTTTTCCATTTTTTGTTCAGGTAGAGTGGGAGGGAGAGAGAGGAACAGAGAGAGAGAGAGAAACATCGATGTGAAAGGGACACATCGAGTGGCTGCCACCCTCACGACCGACCAGGGCCGGGGACAAACTGCAACCGAGGTACGTGCCCTTAGCGGGAACCGAACCCGGGTCTCTCAGGACCGCAGGCCGACGCTCTAACCGCTGAGCCAAACCGGCCAGGGCTGGTCTTTGATGGTTTTAAGCCGTAAATCTGGTGGTGGTGGTGGTGGTGTGAAGGAAGGGGTAGGAAGGGAGGGTGGTCTTCCTTCTTCCTGACAGCTCCTGTAGCTTTTACCAATTGCAGCTGTTCTGCCACACACCCTATGTCACGGGGTGGGAGAGTTCCAAACTCTGGAACTGTAAGTGACCCCCACTGGCTGGAGTGCAGGCTGTAACGGAGGCGTGAGAGGGACTCTGCCAATAGACCTATTTCGTGACCTTGGACAAGTCATGTAACCTCTCTGACTGTATGCCACTCCCTTAGATATCCAGATATTCAGCTTAATAAGCGTCTAGTGAAATCCTCTGTGAGTCAGGCACTGCATCAGGCTGGGGCTGGGCATATGGATAAAAGCTACAATCCCTATTTCAGGAAGCACATGGTTAGTGAAGAGATAGACACTTTAGTGAGTTATGTCAGAGTTATGAACAAAGCCCTGGCCAGTTGGACTCAGTGGTTGGAGCATCAGCCTGAGGACCAGAGAGTCCCGGGTTCAGTTCCCACTAGGGGCATATACCAAAAAAAAAAAGTTATGAACAAAGTACTAGAGAGAAGGAAGCAATTAATGCTGCTCAAAGAAGTGATGAGCAGTCTAGATGTTCTACCAAGTGGAGAGAGAAAAAAGCATTTCCAATTAAGCAAAGGCAAGGAGGAAAAAATAAACCCGCCCTGGCCGGTTTGGCTCAGCAGTTGGAGCGTCGGCCTGTGGTCTGGAGAGACCCGGGTTCAGTTTCCACTAAGGGCACGTACCTCAGTTGCAGTTTGTCCCCGGCCTTGGTTGGGTCATGTGGGTGGCAACCACTCGATGTGTCCCTTTCACATCAATGTTTCTCTCTCTCTCTCTCTCCCTCCCACTCTGTCTGAACAAAATATCAAAAAACATCCTCAGATGAGAATTTTTTAAAAAAACCCAGCCCAGCCCTGGCCGGTTTGGCTCAGCAGTTAGAGCATCGGCCTGCGGTCTAGAGAGACCCGGGTTGGGTTCCCGCTGAGGGCACGTGCCTTGGTTGCAGTTTGTCCCTGGCCCTGGTTGGTTGTGTGGGTGGCAGCCACTCGATGTGTCCCTTTCATGTCGATGTTTCTCTCTCTCTCTCTCCCTCCCACTCTATCTGTACAAAAAATGGAAAAATGTCCTCGAGTGAGGATAAACAAAAAAACCCAGCCCAGCCAATGTGGCTCAGTTAGATGAGCGTAGGCCCCTGCACCAGGAGGTTGAAGATTCGTTTCCCAGTCAGGCCTGGTTGCAGGCTTGATCCCCAGTAGAGGGTGTGGAGCATGCAGGAGATGGATGTTTCCCTCTCATCAATGTTTCTCTCCCTTCCTTTCTCTGAAAATCAATAAAAACATATTTTAAAAAACAAAAAAAACAAAACAATATTGTATTCAAGAATCATAAGAGGTCATGAGTGGTTGTCCAGTGTGCAGGGGAGACAAGAGGTGGTTGTGACTCCAGCCTGGGACACACAAGTGCCCAGACCCCTATTGTCCTACAGTGACAGACAATGGTTGTTATGGGGAAGAAACAAAGTTTCTTCTACCCTAAAGGTTCTTTTGGCTGGTCTAATAATCAAGTAGATATGAGACAGATTAGCAAGATAAAATAACCAAATTTCATATATATATATAAACCCATATACATGAGAGCGTCAGAGATCCCCACGTGCAAGGAGAGGTTCAGAGAGAAAGGGAACATGGCTATAGAAGATATTCTGAGCTACGGATGAGGTTAAGGTGCCTTGAGGGCAAAACGATAAGAACAGATGTTTGGTAAATAGGAGTTTGCTCTGGAATAAAAAAAATTATCACTAATAATCCTTTATTATGGGCAAGGCCCCTAATTCAAATGCTACTAGGTAGTTAAAGGGAGGGGCAGATGTTTCTCTTGAGACTGAAGCTAAAATTGCACTTAGCTCAAAACAACCCGCAGACCACAGAAGCACATCTTGGGGTGACTAGCTCTGAACCCCCACAATGAGAAAGGAAGGCCCAGGCCCAAGGGTCACAGGTCACTACTCTTTACCTGGCGCCTCAAAGGCAAGCCCTCCAGGTATCACCACCATCTGGTGCCCAGTTCCCCAGCAACTCCAAAGGGGTTCAGGACAAGCCCAGCCCCCCATGTCACATACTGGGACACTGAAGCCCCAGCGGCAGGCTGCCTTGCCCATAACCACGAGGTCATTCAGTCGTTACAGAAACGGGCCCCAAAGCAGTCTCTGGACTCCCATTCAGGGTCTTTTGCCCCTTAATGGGCACTACACCTTTCGGAAGCTTAGCGTCCTCATCTGCAAAGTGGAAGAACCGTCCAGCGCCTCCAGGAGTTCTGGGAAGGCGATGAATGAGGCAGCGGGGCGGGCAGTGCTGTTGTGCTTAGCGCAGGCTGTTTGCAAGCTGCAGAAGCACACCGCCCTTCATCCCACGTCTCCCTCGTGCGCCTCCCTCGTGCTCCCGCCCCTTTCACCTCCACTTCCGGACCCTCCTCTTCCGGACCCTCCTCTTCCGGACCCTCCTCTTGGACCCGCCCGCCTCCTCCGGTCCCTCCCCCGAGGGCCACCGCCTTTCCGGTCCCTCCCAAGGCCCCGCCCTTCCCTTTCCGGTCTCTTCCCCAGACTCCAGAGCCCCTCTTTTCCGGTCCCTAATTGAGGCTCCGCCCCGTTAGCCGCCCCTTTCTCTGCCATCCCCATTGGCAGAAAACCCGAGCCACGCCCTCCAGTGGAGAGACGTGCTCCGGGTTGCCTGTCCTCGGAAGTGACGATCAAAGGCCTTGCTCTGAGGAAGTGACGTCAGACGTGCCCTTGACAGGCGGGGAGGGCCGGGCTGTGCATCCCTCCGCTCGCGCTGCAGGGAGGTAGGAGGCCCTCGGGGTGGCTGGAGGTGGTGTCGCGGCTGAGGCGCGCTGCGGGCGCGTTGCTGCGGGGTCCGACGGCCGAGTGGGTGGAGGCCCCGGGCGGGAGGACCTGCCCTCGGAAGAGCAGGGGTCCCTGGTGGCGGCCGATTTCCCCAGTTCCCTCCACACACGTGTCCCTTCTTTTTTAGTTACCCCCCACACTCCTGTTTCTGTGCCTTTTAGTTCCTCCTTGAATCGTTGTGTTTCCTCCTTCCTGATCTTTCACAGCCCTCCTTTTCCCTTAATTTCCCAATGAAACACTTTTGAAAACAGTAATCGATAGAGGAAGGACTTTGAAGACGGCCTACGGTCCCAGTGTTGACTTTCATGTAGTAGTTGGGTTACTTTGGGCGTGCCACAACTTAACTGAGCCTCGGAGCCCTTATCTGTGATACAGGCAATACTGTATGTATTAATTTTCTCCAAAGTTGATCTGGGAGGACTATAATGTACGTAAGACACTTGGCCCTTAGTAGGTGCTCAGTAAATATTGATTCCCGCCTCCCTTTCTTATGTTGTAATAACACCGATATCCTGATTTCATTTTGGTTGTCAGCCCGAAATCCTGCCTTGGTTTGCAGTTCCTTCTTCCCTTTGGTTTTAATTCTTTACTCTACTCCAGAAAGCTTCTATGTCCTGGCATTTTACTTCCAACCCTGAATCTTGAGTCCAGTACTCCCAAATACTGTCTTTCTCTGCTGCGTTGACTTACAGTTGTCTGCCACCACTCTTCCTGCCTCTTCCCCTTACAGATGGCTCAGCGACTCCTCCTGAGGAGGTTTCTGGCCTCCGTCATCTCTCGGAAGCCCCCACAAGGTCGGTGGGCACCCCTCACCTCCAGGGCTCTACAGACCCCACAGTGCAGTCTTGGTGACCTGACAGTAACACCCAGCCAAGCACGGTCATTATACACCACCCGAGTCTGTACAACAACCTTTAACATCCAGGATGGACCTGACTTTCAAGACCGAGTTGTCAACAGTGAGACACCAGTGGTTGTGGATTTTCATGCACAGTGAGTCCTGGGGTCCAGGAGAAGACTGGGTGTCACTTGTTCAGATATTTTTGAGAGTCAGCTACGTCTCAGTTCCACATTTGATACTTCTCATACACAGACTCGCTACAAATCCTGGGAAGACCCAGTCCGTGCTCTCAGAGATTGAGTGTAGTCTGGTAGGAGACAGACCAGTAAACAGTCTTTAAAACTCCCTGTGGTTAGAGCTGGGAAACACTTGTGTTCTGCATCTCACTGGCCAGATGGCTCCGAGTCTGCAGCTTAGACCAAAGCAGGAAAAAAATCTAACTACAGCGACATCTGGCTTCTGGTGTATACCAGTTCCTGGCCCTGCAGATAAGTTTATTTTATTTTAGCATCTTGCCACCCAAACTGGGAAGGGGTGGCTCCAAGCTTCCAGTGCCACCACAGTGCTGCTGAGCATGCAGGGAGTGGGAGGAGTTTCTTTTCAGTGCTGTATGAGTTGGTTTTTAGGCTCTTTAAATGCTTAGGGCCTGCTGACTTTTGGCTTGGCCTTCTTCATTTCCAGATCTTTGGGGCCTGGCTGCAAAAAACTGGATGAGCCCCTCAGAATAAGACATTCTAGAAGGAGCCCGCGTAGCCGGAGTTACACGTTGGGAGGCTTTCTGCGCAGATCTCTGACAGATTCTTTTGCTTTCTTTCCTGTTCTTTCTCTGACTCACCATGTCACCCTGGGCCGGCCACGGTGTCCTTGTGCTTCCCTTTCTTCACTTGTAATAGCAGATAAGGTCTTGCAGACTGGGTTTTTTACGTGTTGTAAGTTCATTAATTGACATCTCTGAATGGAAAGGGTTTTAAAGCCTGAAAATAAAACGGGGAGTCATCAGCCAGGGATTCATGGAAGGCAGAGCTGTTCTGCCCTCCTGGTATAGTGAGCACTCCGGAGAGGGCTTCCAAACTGAATGATAAATGGGGTGATGCTTCATTTTCGTCACCAGCAAGGAAACAGAGTGAGTTCATTCAGTGCCAGGCACTGTTCTTAGTGCCACATACCTAGGGGTGGCAGCCTGTTCTTGAAAGGTCAGAGGGAAACACTTGTGTTCAGTGCAGTAATAGCTGTTGACACAGGGCCTGGGCATCACAGAGTCGCCTGGGGCTAAAAGAAGACACCTGGAACACAACCTTGGGTTGCAATCCCAGCTCTGCTGCTGCTTTTTTTTTTTTTAATCCTCACCCAACGTTACTTTTCCATTTATCTTCAGATAGAATAGCAGGGAGGGAGGGAGAGAGAGAGAAACATCGATGTGAGAGAGACATCAACTGGTTGCCTCCCACACGACCCTGACCAGTGCCAGGGTCCGAACAGCAACCAAGCTACATGCCCTTGTCCAGAATCAAACCCAAGGCTCTATGATCCATAGGCTGACGCTGCAACCGCTGAGCCAAACTGGCCAGGGCCAGCTCTGCTTCTTACTAGCTCTGTGACCTTGCACAAGTTTCTTAACTTGTCTGGGCCTCAGTTTCTCTACTGTCTTTTCCTTTCCCCCTGTGTGGGGAAAGCTGAGAAGGTCCTGGCGCAGTGACTGGCATGTTGTAGACACTCCTGGCCCTTGGTTTCTCCTCCCTGTATTTCTGAGTCAGTGAGGTGCTCGAAGTCATCCTTCAGCCTCAGCGCTGTTTGTCCACATGGCCTTCGTTGCGTCCTCACAACAGCTCTGAGAGGCACAGGCTGTCTTTCAAATGAGGAAACAGGGCCCAGAACAATCAGCTGGTTGGTGAGGATCCTCTTTTTGAACCCAAACCTTTTAACCTCAAATCATATATTATTCTACGATGATACATTTTTTTTAGATACGTTGAAGTAAGTGAAACAGCCTTTATAAGAGTCCTAGAATGAGGTCTGTGTTTTAGAAGATAGGGGCCTGTGATAAGTCCCCCGTTGCAGAGTCTGGCATTGCCATTTGGCACGTCAACATTACAGGTTAATATTCAAACACTGTAAACAGGTAATAAGAGCAAAAGGTCCCTCAGAAAGGTGTGGGTCAAGGACATGTTCTGAGGGGCCCATAGGTCAGGTGGTGAGCGCTTTTGTGACGGGATGCTTCCTTTCTCCCCTTCCGAGGTGGTGTGGTCCCTGCAAGATCCTGGGGCCAAGGTTAGAGAAGGTGGTGGCCAAGCAGCACGGAAAGGTGGTGATGGCCAAGGTGGATATTGACGACCACACAGACCTCGCCATAGAGTATGAGGTATGGACTGGCAGGGGGTTGCCACAGGGCAGCTGGTTTGGGGGATGCTCGGGCCACAGGATAGCTGGTGCAGGAGATGGATCGTTGGGGATCACCAGGGAGCCAGCAAGGGGAGGTGTCTCGGTTCTTCTAGAGCTCTCAGGAATTCAGAGCACTTTGCAGAGGTGACTCCACTGAACCTCTGAGCCAGGTGTTCTCTGCCTCCCTTTGTTCCCGAGTTCGTGTGTGCATGTTCAGTCAGCAGGCATTTGTGACTCCGACACAGATGACATGAGCTCCTGTCCCCAGTCTAGTGGGAAAGACAGACCATGTCCATGTAGGATGAGAAGTGCTGAGAGAAGAGATGCACAGAGAAGGGACTGATTGGCCCCGGGGGACAGGGGAGGCATCCCAGAGGCATCCTCTGAGCGGAGCCACGAAGGACGCAAGGTGAGGAAGGAAGGGCCGAGAGCACGGCGCACACAAGGACATGGCGTGGTCTGGTGTGTTTGACTTGCTCGTGTGTTCTTTCAACAGTGATTTTTGTAGAGTCCCTTAATGCCGGGTGTTGTTGCTTGTGCTGAGACGATGGCAGTGAACAAAACTGACAATCCTGCCTTCATGGAGCCTACATTCTGGTGTTTTGGAGTAGGGTTGGAAATATTTTCTCTAAAGGACCAGGTGGTACATACTTGAGGCTTTGTAGGGCATTGGTCTCTGTTGCAAATAACTCAGCTGTCGTCGTAGCACATTATATACCATAGACAGTATATAAATAAATGGGCGTAGTTGTGTGCAAATAAAACTTTATTTACAAAAACAGGCAGTGGGCTGGGTTTGCCTATGGGTGGGTAGTTCCCTGATCAGACTGCCATGGGAGTGCTGAGCCTGGGGCTGGGGAGGGTTTCATTTTCAAAGGGGTGGGCTAGGGAAGGTCTGGCGAGAAGCTGCCATCTGAGTAAGACCTCCAGGGAGTAAGGAGTGAACCATGCAGCTATTTGGAAGAGCAGTCTGGGCAGAGCAGAAATCAGGTGCCAAGGCCCTGAGGTCAGGGTCTCACAGGTTTGCTCAAGTATAGCAGGGCCTGTGTGCCTGGAACAGAGCATGCTTACAATTCCAAACCGGATGTTGATATTTAAAACTCAGAAGATTTCATGTGAAAATCCAGATTTTCGTTTCTCTGGAAATAACTGGATCTGGCCAGAATGAACCACCCCCCCTTCTTCCTTCAGCTAACAAGTGAGTGAAAGAGGAGGCCTCTTTCTTTCCCACAATTTGGGAGCCCAGGACCAGCTCTTCCCAGCCAGGTTGGGTAGAGATGCTCATCTCAGCCTGTCCTGTGGCGGGGAATGGCGGGCGGTCCATTGAGCTGGGGCTGGGAGGGATCACCTGAAGAAAGTCAGGCTGCCCTGACCAGAAGCAAAGGAAATCGATGCTGGGCAGGCAGAGGCAGGTGGTTGGGGATGTTACTGAAGTAGACCAGCCACGGAACTGGGCACCAAAGCTGCTCACCAGAGCTTGGGTGGGGGTGAGTCACTGTTTGTTTTGTTTACAAAAACTCTCCCACTGATCAGTCGAAGGGGCCCTTGTCTGACCATTTGGATGCCCCCAGCTTTCCCTCCTTTCCATCTGTCCCCCAGAGGCCCAGCAGCTGTGCGTGAGGGGGTGGCCTTCTGACGTGCGCTCAGGGCTGGAGCCCCTGGGCATCCCCAGGGTGAGGGGCAGGCTGAGACGTCTTGGGCTCCCTCCGGCACTGCCCGACACCAGCTTCAGCCTCAGCCAGCAGACTAGTTCTGAGCACAGCCCCGTGCGGGAGCTGCCGGCACCTCGGAGAAGAGTGACCCAGCCCCACTAGCAGCGAGTTCCCAGGACCGCCCCACCTGCTTTCCAGGGGCCTGCTGCTGCAGGGCTGGACACCGAAGTTGTGTTAAGCCTGGAAAGTGTGGGTTGGGGGTTCTTGTAAGATCTTCTCTTGCCTCCCTCTGTCCATTGTCCACATAGTGTGCGCAGGTCACGCAGAAAGACCCCAAGACTGCTGGGCCCAGTCACCTGAGCCAAACCTTGTTTGCCAAGCCCTGGGCAGACGTCTGCGGGCTTGGGAAGCTCCCACAGGGATGCTTCCTGGCCCCTCCCGCGGCCCTTTCCTTCCTTCCTTCCTTCACACCTGTTCTCTTGGAAGCGAGCCTGAAGGAAGACATCTCAGCTAAGAGATCCACAGTGCCTCCTGGAATAGCTTCCTCCAGGGCCTGGCGTGCTTTTCCAGATGTTGGATAACTTGGAGAAACTGCTGTAAATTATATGTACGGAATTAGGACCTCTTCCCGAGGTCTCCTGACGGCCCCCTATGCCCAGCACACCTTCCCACAGACGCCCCTCCCCTCACATCCCACTGTATGCTTCAGTCAGCTGCCCGCCCTAGATCTCAGAGTCTCCCAAAGGAGAGGGAAGGAACAGTCACTAGGGCCGTGGGGTTGCGGTGTCGTAGCCGGCCCCTCCGCCAGACTGCCTGCCCTGGCTTGCGGGCATGCCGTGCCCGGGCTTGCTGCTCCCGCAGGACAGCTGAGCACGCCCGGGTCGTTCAGACCCTGCCAGCGAGGGCGGGAACTGTGGGTCCAGGTGGGGACCTCGGGCCTTTATTCTTTCCTCTGAGGCTCTGCTTCTGACCCCATCCTTGGAGTTTTACCCTTGTATTTCTTCATCTTACACAGCGCCCTTCAAAAAGCATTAGAGCCCAGCGAGTGTGGCTCAGTGGTTGAGCGTTGACCCACACACCAAGAGGTCGTCAGTTCGATTCCCGGTCAGTGCACATGCACTGGTTGTGGGCCAATCCCCAGTGGGGGGCATGCAGGAGGCGGCCAATTGATGTTCTCTCTCCCTCTCCCTTCCTCTCTCTCAAAAAAAAAGAAAGAAAAGAAAAAAAAAATTTTTTTAAAAAGCGTTAGAAAAACAGCCAAGCCACTCTAAGGGAGGAAAAGTCACCTGTACTCTTTACTATACGAACACAGCCACTGCCTGCCAACTTTTGGGGTACCTCGTTTGGGCTTTTTGTTTCAATTTTGTTTTCTTTTGAATGTTCACATAACTTCATAGACATTTCACAGTCTTCCAAGTCGGTGCTTCTCAAACATGAGTATGACCTGGGATGTTGAAAAGCAGACTGTGAGTCAGCAGGTGCAGGAAGGGTCCGAGATTCTGCATTTCTAACAAGCTTCCCGGTGATGCCTCCGGGAGTCTGGGACCAAGTATCAGGAGCAAACGTTCTAAAGCCCTGGGCTGGCTTGAGGCCGTGTGCTCGTGAAAGGCCCTCTCCACCTGCTCTTGGACACAGTGTAACGACGTGTGTCCATCATCACAGTGTCACACAAAACTGTCCCCCGTCCTCCCCTGGGCCCCACCTTTCCTCCTCCCCGGGAGCCCCTGCAGCCGACCTTACCGTCCCCAGAGGGTTGCCTTTTCCAGAGTGTCACAGAGTTGAGTTGATTTTTCAATAATAGTTTTTCCAAGAATCCTCCTGTATCTAAAAGCTTTCACAGAGCACGTGACATTTCTCATCTGAAGCGTGACATCCTTTTAAAGCTTCTCAACCTGTGCTCCCTGGCCCCGCTGGGCTCCGTGTCCATCGCCAGTGCCTGTCCTCAGGCCGACGGGCAGTGCAGTTTGATCACTACTTCACGGACGGCGAAGTCAGGCATCTTGTTTCAGATCCCTGCTCTGCCCCTTGTCACTCAGTCTCCGTGCCTCAGTCTTCCCATCTTGAAAATGGCCCCAACCTGAGGCAGCAGTTTATCAGATAGCATGCACAAGTGGTTAGTATCGTCCCTGACACTTAACAAGCACCCAGTACGTGGCAGCGGGGTGACAGTGATCTCTCCCTTGGCGTTAGTTCTGCAATCGCTAGGAGGGGGTTGCCAGTCTCTTGCAAAACCTAGAACAGTGCCAGTCCCTCCAAACAGAGCAAACGGGTGAGGCGGGGAGACTTGGCAGGGGCGCGGAGCTTAGCGGCAGTGCAGGTGGGTGGTCTGCAGGTTAGTGGGAAGAGACACCCCGCACATGCACGCACACCCCTGCCCAGAGTTCTCAGGGTCTTCAGCCCAGCATGGGAGGCTTCGGTGGCCTCATGTGCACACGCACAGGCAGCACATCTTGGCACATCTTAGCTCCCTTCCAGCCTCTGCCCTCAGTGCTGCCGGAACTGAGAAGGATGCTGAACTCTGGCGTCACCACTGCCCCTTCCATACTTCTGTCACTGTTCCAGGGGGTGTGCCCAGGACCCGCACATTTCCATCTAACGCAGTGTTCATAGGCCCAGCCACTTCCTCCTCCTTGGGGGTGAGGAAGGTCTGGTCACAGCCCAGTGTCCTGCAGGGTTTGGAAATCCAGCCTCTGGCAAGACCATGCTATATGTGTGTGTCTGGGTGGGGGTAGGAGGGAAACTTCAAAGAACACCCTTGATCAGTAGTGGTGGACCTTGGTTGTCATGAAAATACAGTCATGGTGTGTGTGCTGCTCACCCACTGCTGCGTGGTCTGCACGTGCGAGCACACGTGTGACTGCAGGTGCAGTCAGAACAGCATTCACTTGTTCTGAGCCCCTAAGGAAAACTGAGTCCACTTCAGGCCTGCTTAGAGGACACGAAGATAACTAGGTCCCTACGTACAGTGACATACAGCTTTCGTTTCTATTAAGAAACAGGAGAGCCCTGGCCAGTTTGGCTCAGCGGTTAGAGCGTCGGCCTGCGGTCCGGAGAGACCCGGGTTCGGTTCCCGCTAAGGGCACGTACCTCGGTTGCAGTTTGTTCCCGGCCCTGGTTGGTATTCGCCCTGGCCAGTTTGGCTCAGCGGTTAGAGCGTCGGCCTGCGGTCCGGAGAGACCTGGGTTCGGTTCCCGCTAAGGGCACGTACCTCGGTTGCAGTTTGTTCCCGGCCCTGGTTGGTCGTGCGGGTGGCGGCCACTCGATGTGTCCCTTCACGTCGATGTTTCTCTCTCTCTCTCCCTTCCTCTCTCTCCCTCCCACTCTAGCTGTACCAAAAAAATGGAAAAATGTCCTCGGGTGAGGATAAAAGAAAAAAAAAAAAAAAGAAACAGGAGAGCCCAGCCGGTGTGGCTCAGTGCCTGAGCATCCACCCATGCACCAAGAGGTCGCCATTTGATTCCCAGTCAGGGCACATGCCCGGGTTGTGGGCTCAATCCCCAGTGGGGGGCGTGCAGGAGGCAGCCAATCCATGTTCTCTCTCATCATTGTTTCTATCTCCCTCTCCCTTCCTCTCTCTAAAATCAATAAAGAAAAAAAAAAAAAAAAAAACAGAACAAAGCTCTGCCCCAGTAGTTAGTGTCCTCCCGATACACCGAGGTTTGGGGTTTGATCCCAGTCTGGGCACACACAAGAATCAACCAAGCCCTGGATGGTTTGTCTTAGCTGTTAGAGTATCAACCCTCCGACTTGAAGGGTTACTGGTTGAATTCCTGGTCAAGGCCATGTACCTGGGTTACGGGTTTGATCCCCAGACCTGGTTGGGGTCATGCAGGAGGCAACCAGTCAATGTGTCTCTCATGTTGATGCTTTCTCTTTCCCTCTCTCCACCCCCCCCACTTCCCCCTCCCTTCCACTCTAAAAAAAAAAAAAAACCAAGGAATGTATAAATAAGTGGAACAACAGATTGATGTTTCCCTCTCTCCTCCCTCCCTCCCTTCCTCTCTCTGAGGTCAATGAATAAAAACAAAAAAACACTGATTTTTTTTTTTTTTTTTTTTTAAGGACAGGATGGGATTCAGCAAGGGTAAAGTTGAAGTTAGTGCTTGCAAGTTGCCAGATTTAGGCAGCTCCCTTCACAGACCACTAGAGGGTGCAAAAGAACAACGCTCCGGCCCTGTGATCTTCCCATCAGACTGCTGGTGGCTCCAGGGGTCCTGGAGCAAGCTCTCCTGGGCCCCGCGGGTGCCGGAGACAGGGCCAGCCATGGACTGGAGCCTGGCGCTTCATGCCATCACCCATGCCAGAGTCAAGAGTGACAAGGACAGGAAGCAGTGATGTGTGGTCACCCACACATGCCACCCATACCAGCCCCAGGCCAGTCCTTGAAAGGGCCTGAAGATGACAAGGACAGGGACTATGTCATCTTACCTGCGGTGTTTGTCCCCAAAGCCCGTTAGGAGAGGGGTGCAAGGCCTGCCACGTGAAGGCGGGTCCCTGGAGATGACTGGGCAGGACAGCACTCAGAATGTGTGGAGACCTGCTGTCTGTCTGTCACTGGTGTTACTTCGTAGTTAACTTGTGTGTAAGAAAAGTCTGTGTCTTGTTGTTTATATATTTTTTTTGAATGGCCACCAGTGCCAGGCAGGGAGCCCAGGGAACAGAAAATGCCCGGTGTCAGAGTGCCATGGGCCTTATTTACATACCCTGTAATCTCTACAGGTCCCCTGGGGGAGCTCGAGAGGACGGTCATAGGCCAAGAATGTTGCCTCCAACCCCTGTAATAAATAAACAGCAGATCATATGTGGCCGAGCCCTCTTCCCACACTGTCCAGTACGGGTCAGTGACTTTCTGGACCCTGTTAGCCATCACAGCACTGAGCTGAAGTGGCTGTCAAGGGGCCCTGTGTTAGACTTTGCTGACCTGGCCCTGCAGCCACTGTGTGCTGAGTGCCCGCCGTGTGCTGGGCACCAGCTGTTGATGCCTGCCAGGTGCAGGGCACTGTGCTGAGTTTGCACGGGGCATTTTATTCCACCCCACACCCTCTCGTGTAAGTCCTGTTCATATCTTCAGTTTGCCGAGGATAACACTGATACCTAAGAGTGATGGAGTGGCTTGCCCAGAGTGGTCCAAGATGGGGTCAGCCAGCTCCAGGGTCTAAGCTCCTGACCACTCGGCTTTGTATGTGAACCTTTAATCCTAATCTAAACCGACAAGGTAGCTACTACCACCCTGTTTGATGGAAGAGGGCACCAAGGCCCCCAGCCAGTGGGCCAAAAGCTGGGATTCAGACTCCCCTGTCTCCTGGTCTCCGTGCTGGGCTGCCCCTTGGGAAAGTTCTCTTAGCCCCTCAGCTCCGCCCCGCCCCCAGCCCTGGCCCGCAGCTGCATGGGTTATTTTAATCTGTCATTCCAGCCAAACCACTGGGCCAGTGAGTCAGTCATGCGGTTGGGGGAGGAAGGGTACTTCTGGGAGCCCACAATGGAAAAGTTTCTCCAGGGCCTGCAGTACCCCTACACCAAGCGAAGGGGAGTCGCCCGTGGCTTTCGGCACTCACTGCCTGGCATAAGCCACCAGCCTTCCCCACAGAGGCTCGGGAATGGCAAAGGGAGAGTTCACATCTCCTCTGAATGATCTGACCTTCCTTGTCCCTCCATCCAGGTGTCGGCGGTGCCCACCGTGCTGGCCATCAAGAATGGGGATGTAGTGGACAAGTTTGTGGGCATCAAGGATGAGGATCAGCTGGAGGCCTTCCTGAAGAAGCTGATTGGCTGACAGAAGGGAAGAGCCCCGAGTGCCCTTGCCTGCTGGGCCCCGTGGTCCTGGGAGGGACCCTGGTAGAACTCATAGTCCTGTGCAGGCCCTCCCCACCTCCCTTCCGTCTGGCCCCTGAGGGCCTGTGTGTGGAGACCAGGCCTCCAGGCATAGATTCTTGCGTGCTTCCAACCCGGGTGGCCACCAGGGAGTGGTGCTGCCGCCAATCTGGGGACAGCTGTCTTCCCACCACCTCTGTGTGCCCCCTCAAGGCTGTCACAGTTCTCCCAGGACACTTGGAGAGAGCCCCGGGTAGCCGCAGTTACTGTCCCTGCAGTGAGCTTGGTCCTCGTGTCCTCGGTCCCTTCTGATCCCGGTGCCGGGCTCATCTGCCTCTGCTTTTCCTTTCCTACTGTTGTTTTGTAAAAGAAACCCAAACAAGTGAGAGTAATATATAATTCTCTCATTTTTTGTAGGTCTGTAATAAAGAACTTTATGTGATCCTTTCTGTCTCCCGCTGCGAAGAGCGAACCGTGGCCCCACACTGTTACTCTCCAGCTGCCGCCACCCCTTCTTCCCCCCGGGTGCGGGGCAGTGAGCACACGTGGGGCTGGGGTGTCCTGCAGACTCGACTCGAGGTCTCCAGATGCTACCTCCCTCACACCAGCTGGCCCTGGGGCTCTGAGCGGGAGGCTCTCCTGTGACCCCGTCCCAGGAGGGGCCGCTCCCCATTTCTGTGACTTTTCCACCACCCACCAGCCTTTGACCAACCCTCTCGCTACTAACACTTATCAGTCATGGCCACTGATCTAGGGACACCTTCACACACAAGGCAAGAGGGTGTTCACTGTCCCCATTTCACAGGTGAGGTCACGGGCCACAGTGCCAGAGTTTACCCAGACGTGGTTGCATCTGAAGCCTGGTCTCCTGGATCCTTCTGGGGCCACCTCTGCTGACTGGCACATGGCCACTCCCGCGTGAAGCCTGACCCGGAGGGCTGGTCAGCAGAACCCTGCAGCCTCGGACCGGGCCCCTGCTTGTTCCCAGCTCCCTCTGCCCGCAGCGGGACCAGGCAGACCGGGCTTGCCCGCTGAGAAGCCTGCCCTCCGTCCTTCCTGGGGTGGAGCTGTCCTTGGCTCAGGTGCCCAGATGAGGTGCCCGACTTGTAGGAGCCGTGGGTGTTCGACAGCAGGGGCACCCCGACGCCCTTGCCCTTGGCCCTGGGGTGCTGTGTGCAGCCAGTGGCTTGCCTGTGCCTGTTGGAACCGCCGGAGGTACTGCCTTGGCGAGGCTGCTGTGACAGTCAGGAGCGGGGCCTGTGGCCTCTCAGCATCCCCTAGGGGAGGTCATCATCACTCTGTTTTACACTTGAGGGTAAGAGCCACTCGGGGTGTGAGGCCCTCGTCTAAGACGGAAGCCCACAGGCACCTGGGCTGGGGTTCCAGGCCAGGCAGGCGGGCCCCTCCCCGTCGGCTTTCAAAATGTGGTGCACAGGTGACCTCGATCCCGCAACCAGCTGGCGAGCGGGTGGTGTGGGCTCATGGTACAAGCTCCCAGGCACCGGGAAGGAGAGGCGGGCGGGAGCCAAGGCACCCTGCCTCCGGAGCCCGGGCCTCCACTGTGCCCACTGCCACTCCTTAAAAGGCGCCCCTGCCAAGCAATTTCTACACACATTACCTCACTTAATTCCTCTCTCATGAGGCGAGTAGTATTTCTGTATCACAGGTGAAGAAACTGCTTCAGGGAAATTCACTTGCCCAAGGTCACATCTAAAAAGTGATGCTGCCACATGTGAATCCAGGTGGCGGTCTGGCCTCTGCCCGGGGCAGGTGTGGAGAAGGCCTGGAAAAGGCCTCGGGCCAGCGGCGGGGTCCCCACCTTGTCCCGGGCTCCCTCTCCTTAAAAGGTGTGCTGCAAGCCCTGGCCAGTTTGGCTCAGCGGTTGGAGCGTCGGCCTGCGGACCAGAGAGTCCCGGGTTCGGTTCCCGCTAGGGGCACATACCAAAATAATAAAAGTAAAAGGTGTGCTGCGGTGCGAGGCGAGCCAGTGGCGTGGCCTCCAGGTTGGCAGCCACTGCCCGTAAGGCTGCTCCTGGCGTGAGTCACTGGCTGTGGGCACACAGTCCTCCGGGTGATCCCGTCTGACTAATTCCACGGCGCTGAACTCACCGGGACCCTGCTGGCCTGGCATCGTTGCCCACTGATGCCCTGTGGTGCCGCCGCGGGCACCGGCCTGCGGAAGAGGTGTCGGCAGTGTAGCTGGGGGACCAGGGGACCAGCCTCACCCTCTGAAGCAGACACCTGTGAAAGCCCAGAAAGGGGTCTCAGTCACAGTCCCCCCAGCCTCCAGGCATCCTGGGGTGTGGCTCCGGGGTGTTTATTCTGATACAGAGTGCATCCAGTTGGCCTGAGGGCGGCTGGCGGGCTGGGAGCTCACTGGTCTCATCCCCATCGGGCCCTGCCAGGCAGTTCTCCCCACTTCACAGATGAGCAGACTGAGCACCATGTGATGTCAGTGGAATGGCTGAGACGCCGCTTCAACGGGAGTGCTCATCATCAAAGGGCCGTAGCGGTTCTTGGACGCATTTGGATGAATGAGTGGTGGTCCCTACCACGAGCTCCTCCTAAACACACGGCACACGGGAGAGTGACCCGGCCCTCGAGCAGCCAGGCTTCTAAGACAGCAGAGCGAGGGCTGCAGGTCACCCCTGAACCGTGGCAGGGCCTGCAGGGAGCTCCTACGGGCACGGAGGGGGCGCCGTGCCCAGGTCCTGGTGTGCTCGGGACAGGGACTGGCCTCGATTGAGGTCCTGGTGTGCTCGGGACAGGGACTGGCCTCGATTGCAGCCAGGCTGAGAGTGGAAATGAGTCACGGCCTCCTCGTCCCTCGGCTGCGGAGAGGTGAGCGAGGAGGCCGGTGTCGGGCAGGACGAGTGGGGCGGGGAGGTCCACAGCCCTTCCCAGCAGCCCCTGGCCCGCAGCCCCCCTCAGCCGCCTGGGGAAAGCTCCGGAAAGTGAAGGTGGTCTGGCCGGGCCTTCGGAAATCCCTAAGGTGCGGCCCTGGGCCGGGAGGGCCCAGAGAACAATGTCGGGGCCGTGTCAGTGGCTGGCAGGATGCTGTGGACAAGCGGGCTTCCAGGCAGCTGCGCGGCTTCTCTCCGGGCCTGACCCTGAGCGCCGGGCGCAGGGCTGGCTTCTGGCCCCGTTGGAGATCGGCCGCTGATTGCGCCAAGGAGCCTCCTCTCCGGCCACCTCCTGGCACCTCTGGGGAGCTGGGGGTCACCGCCGGACACTCCGCAGTGGTAAGCAGGAAGACGCGGACCTGGTTCAAGTCCTGACACGACCGTCCACCACGGTGTGGCCTTGGGCAGGTGGCCTCGCCGTGCTGAAGCGCGATGGGGACGACGATGGCTAGCCCTGGCCGAGCGCACGTGACCTGTGTCATCTCACGGGCTTTCACAACAGCCCCATCCTCACCCTTTTACAGACGAGGAAACAGGCCCAGGGAGCCAGGTCAGTCGGCATTAACAGGTGTCGGAGCTCAGCTCAGACCTCGGCGGTGTTAGACCCACAGTTTGTGTGTTCTCACCCATGAGCTACACTGCTTTCCCTCTGGGGCAACTTTTTCGCCAGTTTGAACTTCAACGGCACCATCTGCAAACGGGTTAATACCAATCACTACCAAATGAGGTCACGGTGCAGATGACACGGAAGCATGTAGAAGCCTCTGGTACCTAGTAGGAGCCCGAGAAGTGTCCACCGCCTTGCTTCTCTCCTCCCCACACCTCCCCCCACTCTGGGCTGCATCAGGAAACACGGGCTTCCCGAGATAAAGACCACAGCGCCCACCGGGGGAGGGGCCCATCCTTACACCAGGCTGAGGGCCTTACATTGGGCTCTGAGTCCTGGCCTTGCCACCAGGCCCTCCTGCTGGAGAGCTGGCTCCGTGCTGCCTGTGACTCAGGCAGCCCAGGAGTTCGAGGTGGTGACCTCAGCCTCGGAGAATGCCCACTGGAATTCACCCTGAGCCCATGTGCTTGTCCTCCACGCGTCCCTCTGAGCCAGCCCTCCACACACCGCTGATGGGAGCTCCCCTGTGAGCTGGGTCACCCCATTACACAGACACTAGTTATTCACTGGGGGTGACCGGTTCCCCACCTTCGGCCAGCTTCCTGGGTGACCACAGGCAAGTAGCTGTCTCTCTGGTCTGCTGCCTCCCTCTGCTTCCAGGCAGTTCAGCCCCCGTCTCTTGGTGCCCCACACTGCCCAACGCTCCACCCACACCTAACCCTCCCAACACCCACCAGCGCTGGCGATGGATGTTCCCATTTCACACATGAGAAGACTGAGGCCCACAGAGGTGGTGTGATGTGCCTGAGACACATCCTGGGAAACTGGCCTCGGGGAGGCCTGACCTAATCCCTCATCCCTCTCCTTTGCCACGTTGCCACCCTGAGGACGGTCAAAGAATCCCTCTTCTCATGCCCACAGTGGGAACTTCGGGCCCCCCTCTTTCATCTGCCTCCCCCACCCTGAGTCCTGGCAGGAGACGGGAGAGTCCTTGTGCTCAGGATCTACTCCTAAGGCCGAAACATTCTCTCCAGGCCCAACAGGACAACCTCACCGCCTGACCTCGTCAGATGGCGTGTGAGCGCCCCTCTGGGGCTGTCTGGTGCTAGGAACCAGGAATTCAAAGCACAGAGGAGCTCACGGCAAACACACTGATACAATCGAAAGCATGAACGTCACAGTAGAAACAACACTTACCATCAGGAAGATAAAGCACAGAAATGAAGTCCCCCGGAGGAGCAGGTCTGTGAGGGCTGTCAGATAAACCACGAGAAGGTGACATTCCTGAAGGGTTTTGTCTTGGGGGCAGGGTGGGAATAAGGAGGGTAAAAGGGGTTAAATACAAGGGGACAGAAGGAGACTGGACTTCAGGTGAGGAGTACACAAGAGAGTATACAGATGTACTACAAAGCTGTACACCTGAAATTTACATGTTATTCATGTGATATAATATTTATATAATGTTATTAATAGGATTCATTATAATGTTACTCCAATGAATTTAGTAAAGAATAAGTAAATAAATGTGAATAAGATAAATTAAAAGCCCAGCACGTGTGGCTCAGTGGTTGAGCGTTGACCTATGAACCAAGAGGTCATCGGTTCAATTCCCGGTCAGGGCACGTGCCCAGGTTGTGGGCCCGACTCCCAGTGTGGGGCATGCAGGAGGCGGCCAATCGATGTTCTCTCATCGATGTTTCTATCTCTCTCCCTCTCTCTTCCTCTCTCTCTAAAATCAATAAAGAAAAAAATATATATGTAATAAATAAAAAGAAGAAAAGGGCTTTGTTTTGCATCACCAGGTAGAAGTTGGCCTGAGAGGCAAGCAGAGGGAACAGCACGTGTGAAGACACACAGGTACATGGTCTGTCCAAGGAGGGAGACTGAGACGCAGGGGACAAGTGGGGCCCCACCCAGGGGGATGGAGGCAGACTGGATGGGGCCTTGGAGT